AAGGCATTTCCTCACTGTGCCCCAGGGAACACAAGGGAGACCTCTGGATCCATAAGCAGCAGGGCAGAGGGAAAGGAGGGTGTTTTGAGGCATTTGTAGGCATGAATGTTTTTAGGAGGCCTCAATCTTCCCTTCTCACTGCCAAGGAACCTAACAGTGCCTGTCCCACATGGATAGACATGGTCTTCCGTCCTGTTCATGAGCATAACCTTGAATCCCACACTCTGAGCAATAGGATGAGGCTGGTTCCACAGCAGATGTCCACCCCACACCTGACCTAGGGGACAGTCTGGTCTTCAAAGCATTGTTCCTGTCCATATTCTGCCATGTGCCAGAAACAGCTGCCATGTGCTGGCTGGGCAACAGGAGGCCTCATAGCTCTTCTGTCAGCATATGGGATATGAGCAGAGATTAATGAAACCTTGGATAACCCCTTTTGCTGATTGATATGATGGGCCCAGTCACTGCACCCAATCAAAAGTCTTGAGTAGAGGTTACCACCAAAGGCCTCCCTTGCTTCCAGCACTTTCTTAATAGCCCGTGCCTGGAGGATCAGCTCTCCTGTGGTGATGTAGATGGTTCCCCACACCTTGCACCCCTCTCCAGGTTCCAGCAAGCTCTCTATCTCCAAGTCCATCAAGACAGCTGGTAGTAATCTTCCCTCCTCAGTGGAACAGAAGCATACAGGGTATGTCTGCCTAACTTATCTGAAGCAGAGGAGCTCAGAGAATGTCTCTGCTCTTCAAGCATTTAGTCCAAGGAACGTGAACCTGGGTTGGGAGGAGCAGACACTTCCTGCATGTGTCCACTGCTACTCCTGTATCAGCTCATCTTTGATTTTGAGCTTCTTGTGTTCCTGCTGGGAGGCTGCCTCTCCTATCCCATGTCTCTCAAACATGTGTCCCTGCAGATAAGCCACTCATAAGCGGTAGCTTGGAGGTGTATGAGGTCTGGACATCAGTGCATGCCTGTGGTGGGTCAGGAGAAGAGTTGGTTATGCCAGAAATGTGAAGGTCAAGCAGCACTGGCAGAAGCAGACATGTATAATTAAATGTTCTTATTTTTTTAGCTCCCAGAGGAAGAAGAGGTTGGAAGAAATTTTATGCTGTGCTTAAAGGGACCATCCTTTATTTACAAAAGGTAACCATGCTTGACTGTCCTACTTGCCGTTTCATGCTGTCTCCAAAGCAGTCATGCTGTCCTAAGCAGGAGACCCATAGATGCAAGTAGAGGTCAATCCATGTCCTAATGCATGCATGGACATCTACAGAGCTCCTCCAGAGACCAGTATACAGAACCGGAGGACGCTGTCGTCTTTGGTGGCGATGTTTGTGCTAAGGGCACTATTCCCAGCCTCAAAAGAAGACCATACAGGAAGAAGTATGAAAGAGGGAACATTGAGGCAAGACTTCTGCAGAAGTGTCCCAGCAAGTAGGAGCTGTTGGGGAAGTTGAATGAACAGATGACACGGAATAGGTGGAACAGGATGTTAGTGAGATATGCAATAGGAAGCTGAAGGGGTGGTCATAAGACCAGTCTTGTCTGTTGTTTTATTTGCTGGCATAGATCTGATTATGAGCAGCTCCACCAAGTCTTGTATGCACCATACTTAAAGTTTTTTGCCTCCTTCAGGACCTTGCTGTGCTGGGTCCTTCCATGGGTTGCCAAGTGATGCTTTCTGCCTCTCCTCACCTCTGTTCTGCAGAGTTTTCTCCAAGTCTCCAGTTCTGTAGCCATCTCTAGTCAACACAAGTATAAATCCTCATGGGAGGCAAAGTCACCATGGAAGAGCTTCCCTGCCTGCTATAGCATTCAGCTCTCTGCCTTTCAAGACACTTGGATACTAGGAGGATTTCCATGGAGAGTCTTTTCTGTGGGAAAATCCAAGGCGCCTGGATAGGGGCTCACTTGAATGTCAGTACGAGCCAGCCGGGGATGCCAAATGTCTGTTCATCGCGCAGCAGCGTAACCCGCTGAACTAGATCTGAACTACCTCAGCTGCACACGCTGCGCAGTAACCCATTGAACTCACCTTGCTGGAACAGCACTCCCTGTGGGTAGATGTTCCTGTGTATTGCAGTATTATCTCCAAAGCAATGCGAGTAAACAAACATTGGATTATATAAGAAAGGCAGAAAGATCCTCAGGGCAGCACAGAAATATGACTCAGAGCTCGTAGAACATCCCAATGATTCTTGTGCTTTGCCAGATCCTATGGCACATGTCACAAAGCCAACAGAAATCTGGCAGCAGCTGATCATAATTTACAGTACCGGTTGCTCTTAGCCAAGTGGTGTTTTTGCAGCCTTTCCACTCTCTCCAGCAGCTGAGGGAAGCTGCAGCACACAGGAGAGCTCAGATCTTCTCCAGCCCTCTAAGCGTGACCTTCTGCAAGTCAGTGACACTCTTCTTACATCTCAGTTTCTTGTCTTGTTACAAGTCTCCACAGGGAGTCCAGCTACAAGATCCTCATGCTGACCATCAGTGATGCATGAGGGTTTAACTTGCAGAGTTACCATCAACATTTAATTTTATGACAGTTTCTCTATGGAAAAAAATGCAATTTCATCAAAATCACAGAAACCAGTTGGATCTAGATGCATTTTTCACCAAGAACTTTTAGGGTATGTCTCTTGGGATGAGGGGGTATATATTTGGAATGAAATACACTTTCGGGACAGAATTTTCTTCTCATGCTGGACCAAAATCCAGTTTACTGAAGATTTTCTTGCCTTCTTGGACAGCACTAGAAGGAACTGTGAAGCCAACACTGCATGTCTTTGGTGCTGATGGGGCAGGGGAGGTGGGTTTTCTTTGTTGCACAAGGTCAGCAGCAGTGGCCAGCCAGACTGTTACATTAACATAGTTCGTTATGTTAGTACTAGGTGTTTAGAATTTAAAAACAGAGTGAGGATGGGATGGATAGAGGCACATGGCTGCTAGAAGACCAATGTTCTTAACTAGATGACCTTCAGGAGCAAATGGTTAAGAGACTGAAGGCTTTCTTTATGGGCAAGGACTGAAGAAGCAAAACACCTAAGATTTGGCTAGGTAAGGAAGGTGTCTGATAAATAGCAGCCGTGGCTGATGTGTAATTTGTAGGAGGGATCAGAATTGCCAAGAGTGCCCCAAGGAAGCAGCATTTGGAACAACAACAAAAATTAACCTGAGGAACATTTGGGCAAAGGATCTGGGCAAAGAGGGGTTTCTTAGTCATGAGCTGCTGCCAGACTGTGTATGGTTCTCTTCAGAGGATTCATTGCACTGGGCTTGGTGTAGACAGTGTCTATCAGGCTTGCAGAGACAGGACAGAAGGCTGATACTGCGAAGACAAAGCCCTTGCCCTGCCACTTCAAAGCATTCCCAACACCACAACAGAGAGTGGATCCACCTGCCCTGTTGATTCTTAGTGCAGTTTCTTGCCGATGGGGTGGTTTGCAGAACAAGTACAATATGGGAAGGAAGTGGTGTGCCAGCCTCCCAAGCTCTCAGCGGATGATGCCTGCACATAAACATAAGGTAGAACCTGACTTCAGCACAAATCACTGGGAAAAGATTTTCTGATGTGAAGACAGAGGAGAAAGTAGCTGCTTCCAGACCCACCTGATGCCATGGCGCACAGGTTAGCCTGTTCCAGTTTTCACTCAGACCAAAACAAGGATCTAGGCTTTAGTAGGAAATTCCCTTAAGTTTAACAGGAAACTCTGCACAACTTGAGTTTGGGGAGCAAGTTGAGTAGAAATAAGAGAGAGAGACAGAGAGGGAAGAAGGGGAGGAAGGAGAGCCTGGGGAGATGGATGTATAGAAAGGAGGAATGGTCAGCTACAGAGAGAGGTGGGCATAACATAAGCAGAAGAGAGGGTGGGTGGGTGGACAGGTACAAGTCAGTCTGTTAGAAGCAATTCAGGCCACAGCCATAAACCTGCTGATGTAGAGATGTCACATGCCATTGGCTCGCCAGTGTTAATTGCTGGATTAGCGTGTTCTAGCACAGTCTGCTGAAGAAATTGCTTGATCCCCTGAAGGGGTGCAGCATAGTCTGGAGGAAGAAATGCAGGCTTGGGAGCAGGGCGCACCTCTCCTGCGCTCTGATCTGCACTGGGCACTGACTCACTCCATGGCCTTTGGCAATTTACTTCACCTCTGTGAAATGGGGATAATAACCCTTAATCACCACACATAGAGGGATGTTGAGAGAAATGATGGAGAGCTATAAAGCATGAGGTGCTTTTATCTGGAAGTACTGGAAAGGGTGCAGGTCTTCCCACAGGGTCTGCCCTTGCAGCCCCCAGCCATGAAGGAGTTCCCAGTGCTGCCCCGAGCCATGGATGCTGTCCCATGCAGGCAGGCCTTGGCCATGGTAGTGCTGCTTGGAGTGCCAAGTTCATGGCTAGACTGAAAAGGGGGCAGTGGTTAGTTTTCCTCATTAAATGTTTTTTTTTCAGGCTGGTAGATATGAGCTGAAGGAAAGGAAAAAGGAAAACCCACTCACAAGCCGGAGCATGAGAAATCGCTCTAGTTCCGTGTCCGTATTCACATCACTGCTCAGGGATGGTGCTGAGCCCAGAGATGAGGGCAGCAGGACCAATCCACCAGACTCTCTCACCCCATCCAGGTGCCCTGTGAAGGCAGTTACAAGTTTCTTGACAAAACAATCTGTGAGCTGGGGACCTCATATTAGCGGATCCCCCACCACCCACTTGCAGGGGTAGGCAGCAGGGGAAAGCCGGGGTCGGAATGGTGAACCAAAGACACCACGGAGCACCGCCGTGGCAGAAACTAAGCCCAAGAAAGGAGGTGGCAATGTGCATGTTTAAGCAGAGCCTTTGTGCAGGCAGGAGAGGCACATGAACGAGGAGTCTGTCTACACCATCAATGTTAAAAGCCGGAAGTGAATTGAATTAGTTTGGAGGGATTCTGAAGCAAAGTGTCCACGCCTGGGCTCAATTCCTGCAGAAGGTATCCCCTGAAAATTTCTGGCCCCCACCATCCTACACCAGAGAACCAAGGCAAAAATAAACATACAAAAATTCAAGGGCTGGGGCTAAGGGGAACTGACATGATGTGGCTCAGCATACTTCGCCCGTTTCCCAGTGACAAGCAACTGTGAACAGTGCAGGGTACTTAAGACAAAAATTCAACAGCCCTGTGATGCCAAATTAACCCCTTTGCCAGGAAATGCATGGCAGGATAACACCATGAAAAAGGTGAGAGTAAGATTAGTGGTGGAGAAAACATTGCCTTAAGTTCCTCCAAATACGACACTGCTTATGTTTTAGTATAAATCAATTTCTTGGAGATTTAAACCAGAATCTCTTCACTGAAAGTGCCTGTGTTTCTATTATGTTTCTGGACATGTCTCTTCCTCAGCAGCAATTTAAGCACACCCTTAAACTTGCATCAAAGTTCAGAAAGGGATTGAGGCAAAATGCAGAGAAGCTGCTGGAGGCTTCATAGCAGAGCAGATGTGCTTTGTGGAAGGGCAATGGGATTATTCTCCAGGGGAAGGCTATGTGGTGTAGCCTACACCGCAGTGTAAGTGCTGGGCACTGTGATGGCCCCAGTTGCACGTGCATGGCATCATACAGACTTGGAGCTGTTTAGGAGCACACGGAGATCTCCCAGCATCTGCAGCTGGACGTATCACCACGACTACCGCAGGACAGGCGTCGAGATGAGTCTCCTGGCAGAGCCGGCCCGTGCAGAAGCAAGCCTCCAGCACCACGCATGCCTGCAAACGCAGCCAGTTTCCATCAGCAGGGAGGCACGAGGCAGAGAGAACCTGCTTGATTGAACCTTACCCTGATTTGCTGGGCCCAGTGTTAGAAGAAGAAGGTTTGGCTTTTCCTTACACCTACATCGATGCCTGTGAGCCTGAAATCAGTAGAGGCAGTACATGACGACACCGTTCAAGGTGAAGGTCTGCATTAGTCAAACCAGTTTGCAGCCATGGCAGTTTCTCCTTGTCACATGCCATTAAACCTACCTATTTACACTGTGTTTTCAGAAAGCTTATCTTGAGATAAGAGATCATGGGCATCACAGTCAGATTTATTCAGATCCAAAGAGCTTCATCTTTGGAAAAACATCCAGAATTGGAAGTCTCTCTACAGCATCTGAGACCTGAGCAGCAATGTCTTCCTCAAGCAACTATTTCTCTCCAAGTGTGGTAACATATTAGGTCCTCGTAAGGCAAAGCATTTGTTGTTCTTTGTTAAAAGGGTAACAGCCCATTCCTCTGGCTACTGAAATCCTCACGGTGCAAAGGCCGCCTGTGCTGCCCTGCAGTGCAGCCCATCTGAACGTCACCCTGCGTGCAGGGTGCCTGCAGCACCCACTCCTCCCTCTGCTGGAGAGCTGGGACTTTGGGGTTCACCCTTAAGCAAGCAGTTGCATGAGACAGGAGCCCGTGCCAGCCATTTCTGGGCCCTGGACCTGTGGCATTTCTTTGCATAAGGCCAAGCATCACACGCTTAAACACACCAGCGAACACAGTATGGTCGCCACTCTCCCGGGTGGGATGACTGCCTCAGAAAAGCAGGGAAGGAAAGGCGTCAGCAGCTTATTTTGCACTAGGAGCAGGGCTCCAGGTGAGCCACATCCATGGGCTGGGGAGTGCTGGTCCCTGGTGCTCTGAAGAGCAGCAGAGAGGAGGTCTTTCTGATCCCACACTGGAAAACAGCCTTACTGACCAGGGTTAGCAAGCAGGAGACTGTAGTGTGGCTTTTCCCTAAAGGGCTCGGTTTGTACTACCACCAGGACACCAGAAAATATCATCTTTTTGTGAATCTGCAGAACAGACTGAACTCTAGCTTGAAAACTAAGGAAGGAGTGGAGCACATCGGCCACCACCATCAGACAGAGCTGCCCCTGTGCTGACAGCCAAGGAAAACAAAACATAGGAGCGAATTAGTCCTGTAGATTTGCAGTGTTATCAGCAGGGCAAGGCAGATCCTTCCAGGGCCACCTGTCCTGACAAGACCTCTAACACAACCATGTGGGTTTAGCCAGGGCCAGGTTTTCTTAAGTCCACTTGTCCATGCATGCATCCGTCCATCCTTCCATCCCACCACGTGGCTGGACCAGCTGTTGAGCTGGCAGGGTGCAGAGCGGGAGGGAGGGTATTGCTTTCGGTGGCTGGGAGTTCAGTCACTGGGAAAGCAAAGGTAAACACAGGATTGATTGAACTCTTTTTTTTTTTTCCTAGAAAATACTGTGCCCTTTCAGAATATGCTTATAGAATATGGACATATATGGTTATTGCTACATTCCCTTTTTGTGTGAAATTGTCATTCAGTGGAGAAAGTAAAGCAGGAATACAGGAACTGCTGCGGCAATTTGTTCTAGAGCCAGTCTAATGGATTGCATGAGAGACCATGCCAAAGGAGCACACAAACTAAAGAGAGACCAAGCATGGTTCAGGTGGGCCATGCCCAGTCTGACAACTGCCCAGCAAGCTCCACACCTGCACGGAGATGGACTGGCTGTGGGAACGCTGCTGTTCCAGGGCTGCCAAAGACGGTGCCAAACCCGAGCCCAGATCCTCTGCCACGTGCAACGGTGCAGCGCTGGCTGATACCTGCTGACGACCAGGAGCTGCATCCTGGCTTGAGCTCTGCGCTGCGGGTGAAGCTCTGCAGAAATCTAGCCCCGTCTTGTGTCTTCCCCCAAAGCCTCAGGCGTGTGCTGTGTTAGAGATAACTATTGATAATTACGTTTAAAACTTTCATCTCCTTCTTCACATCTTCCCAGTGAACTTAATGATAGAAGAAGTTGCCAGATGTTAATTATTATCATTATCAGCTCCTAGCATTTGCTGTACAAAGTGGTGCTTTTCCTGGCCTCGGCACTCTGTGATTATAGCACAGAGAGAAAGCCAGGTTCATTAAAATAGCCCGCAAATGTTAGTGTTGTCATTATCCAATTAACGTTCCTCTTCACAGGATGAATATAAACCTGACAAAGACCTCTCTGAAGTGGATCTGAAAAACGCCATCCGTGTGCACCACGCCTTAGCCACGAAAGCCTCTGACTACAGCAAGAAGTCCAATGTGCTCAAGCTGAAGACAGCTGACTGGAGAGTCTTCCTCTTCCAGGCCCCGTAAGTACCAGCTCTTCCCACAGAGCTGGGATGGGCAGCCTGACCTCCAGCCAGTGCCAGATTCCCTCCGACCTGGCCGGACCAATGTGTGCATGAGAGGATGACCCAGGGGGGGATGAAGGTGGCCGAGGGTGAGGTCTGTAGAGCTGTGCAAGGAACTTGGTCATGGGGTCACGATTTCTACCTGTCACTCTTGTCAGCTGCATGTCAGTTCTGGAGGTCCTTTCTTATCTGCCACCAGAGTGGGCTGATGGGCGGGATGGAATGGGATGGGATGGGGTGGGATGGGATGGGA